GGCCCGCGGTGGGCGAGAGGGTGCGTGGCTACTGAGGTGGCTGGTGACGCAATGGCAGTCCCCTAGTTTGATTGAGGGAGGGAGGGCAGGGGGCGCCAGCAGGCTTGGGCCCGCTGCGCGGCGTGGCCCTGGGCGGAGGCAGGGATGGAGGGTGCACGGAGACGCAGGTTTTGGTTGCCACACCCATACCCCCCCCCCCAATCAAGCCGCAGCCTGCGTGCGGTTGCCAGCCCTCTGTTTCGTTTCCCCCATGGCAAGCAACTACGGTCCAGGAAGGGCTGTTCCCTGCAGCTGTGTGCCCTGTTGAAAAATGCGTGAAGGGGTTTTCCTGGGGTCGCCGCCGCCCTCACCATGTGGCGCAGGTCGTGAGGTCCGTCTTCGGCCGCGCCGTCGCGATGAAAGAATTTGAGGCGCACGGCAGCACGTTCACGCCGTCCACCGAGAAGTACCCCGGCGCCACGAAGAAGCACTGCGCGGCGCTCGTCGCGCCGGTGGTGTTGGTGCTGGTCCCCATCGCGCACGCGGTGCAGTTGGTCGCTGTCGCCCTGAGGCGCGTCGTGTCCGAGAACGTGCCCTGCTGGCACAGGACAGCCACGGCAGAGTTGAAAAAGTAGCCGGGCAGGACCCACAGGCAGACGGACTGGCCGGTGCCGCCGTTGGTCGACAGGCCTGTCGTGCTGCGCGAGCAAAGCGGGGAGGGAGGGGTGGGGGTCCGACGGTGTTCTCAAAGACAGACACCCGTTGCCTCTCGAGTTTATTGTAGGGTTTGGTGTGCCACGAGTCCCAACTTGCTGGTGCGGCTCAAACCATAATTCTTTCACACAGACAAAGCGCGCGGGGTCGGAGCACCAGTCAAACACGCCGGTCAACAAAATCGGCCCGCCGCCCCGCCGTTTCTCCAGCGAAGGCGCCGCGGCCCACCAGTTCGTGCAGCCCCCGGCGGTCGCGTCAGAGCTCCAATTTCTGAACGTGGCCGAAAACTGCTCCGCGGGGCAGGGGCTGCCTGTGGCGTTTGCAGCATTGTAGAAGAAGCCAGGCGGCGCAAAAAAGCAGTCCGCCTGGGCCGTGTTGTTGTTGGTGCTGAGGAACCGCGGCGCGCTGTGGGCGTGAGAGGGGACGGCGGGGTGGGAGCGGGGGCCAGTTGTAGTCAGTTTAGTATGCAGGTGGTCCCCAGGTGATTGGGACCAATCAGCTGTCATGTCAACACAAGGTGGGGGGACAAAGGGGCGTAGGCGGGTGTTTGGTTGACGGCAAGGACAACGGCGCCGCTGGCGCTGGGGCTTGCGCACGGCACCCTCAAGCATTCCCCTGGCTCCCAAGCTTCCGGTGGCAGGCGGCCCCGCGGCGGGGGGCGGCGGCGGGCGCGCGTGTGGAGGCGGGGCCACTGGCGGGGGCTGGCAGAAAGGGGGCGGCGGCCCAGCAGATGCGGCACAGGGCCCCCCGGCCTCGGTGACGCGTGGTCCCTGGCATTCCCTACCAGGCTGTTTGCTCCCCTCGTGCCAAAGACCCAACTAATTCATCAATGCAAAACGGCTCAAACGATTCAAACACCTTGGCGCATCCAAGCCCCAAACCCGAGTGGCCCGGCCCAAAGGCGAATCCCACTGACCAGAGCTTGCATGGGGACGTGTCGCTCAGCGCCCGCACAGTATTCGTGAACGAGTCTGCCGCGCACGGCTGGACCGACGGCGCCGCTGCTGTCCCGCCGTTGAAGTAGCCCTGGAGTATGAAGTTGCAGGACGCCTGGCCGGTGGTGCCGTTGGTGCCCGTGCCGAGGGTGGCGCTCGAGCTGCATCGG